TCTGATTCTTAGTTGCATTAAAGACAATCGAAATCATTCTGATACTTGGTCGCATTAATGATATCCTTGATAGCATTCTAGAGCAAGATAGTAGTAAATATAATCCTGAAAGCATTCTGATGCAAGGTCACAATATAGATGATCCTAAAAGCATTCCAACATAAGGTTATTGTAAGAAAAATTCACACAAAGCATCCTGACATGAGGTCATAAATTAAAGACTTCAATTCTCAAAACTTAAGTTTACCCAAGTAAGAAATGCAACCAAATCATAATAGTGAAGAAAAGAAAAAATGGTATTAGTGCCCAAGCACATGATCAAAAACATAATTTATCAAAAAATTTGTATTTCAATTATGAGAATGACTATTAAAAAATTATTGTATCTATCATTTTTGACAAACATAAATATTAAAAAAAGAATGAAGAAGATGGAATATGAATCTACAGTTCTTCGGGTTGGGTATCAAATGATCTTTCATCTACCATGTTGTCACCCTTGGATTTCCCACAGTGCTTGGATGCAAAAGAGCATCATAAGGTTTCTTGAATTTATTGAGGTTGGAGTACTTGGCATCAACCATACCCACTCTAGTGAATTCATTAACTGCAAGTTTACAACCCATCTAAAGGTACATAACCTACACGATAAGAATATCTTCAGTAGTAGTCATGGTGTTTATTAATTAAAAAACTTCATTATTCTCATCCTGGACAACAGATATCCACTCATACTGTATTTCTAACTCAATTTGGGCATCCTTCAGATCTGTCTCTGCCTTAGCTGCTTTCATAGTGGCCAACTCTGTGCGCTCGCATTACTGCCTAACTTTTATCTCAAATTTTGCAGCTCTCTACCTCATACATAGATAGAGAAAAGCCAAGTAGTGAGTGGAGGTGTAACCCATAAGCTGAAAAACAGTCGAGCGATAAACACAATACATCTGAGCGAAGATCATCAAGATACTTTTTTAAGCTAGCTGACCACAAGATATTATCAACAATAGAGGCATATCCAGCTAATGTTGAAATCAAAGGAAGCCAATCTCTCTCAACATTTACCATACTAAGACTGGAATCAGAATTCATAAAAGCCTTTGGTTGTCTTTTTTGTAGAGGGATCCATTGATCAAGGCCCCCTTCCTACTCTTTGAAGGTGTTGAGAGGAAGGAGTTAGAGTTCAAGGCTAAAGCCCTACCTTTCTGCCTAAATTTGTATGCCTCAATCAATTCAGAACTCTCCTCTTCAACTTCAACTGAACTTCCATCATTTGTTCCTTCCTTAGCTTGTGCATTTTGAATCGACAAATATAGGGGGGATAATCTACTTGCATATCCTCGCTCGGATAGAGGGATGATAACCATTTTCGATGTCTTAGAGACCTCCTGTGAAAGACACTTGGAAGATCCCCAGTATCCAACCGAAGTGAGACAGAGTTGCTTCATCCATAGAATCACCTAAGACAATTGGTGCACATTTCCATTAGATCAATATTAATTCACTAGTAAACTTATTTTGGATAACAATAGAAGTTTTGGAAACTGAGTGAATTAAATCTGAACCTGGGACTCACCCCTTTTTAGGGTAACCTTAGACTGACTCTTCCTCTGTTTCTCTCACAAGAGAGCCAGTAATTCGCTTCTGCTTTCTCAATGCCTTCTTAGAGGACCGATCAGCCTTCTCAAACTGTCTTTTCTCTTTGCATAGTCAGAAGCTGCCCACATCTCCAGAGTCATGAGTCATTTTGATTTGAATTTAAAACCCAATTCATGATCATATTGTTAGTTTATTGGAACACTGATAGTTTATTGGAACACTGATAGTTGTTTGTCAAGGATGACATGCTCCATAACTTTCAACAGAGGAGAGACTCACTTACTTTTTTGGTAAGGGCTACTAGACACTTTGGTTGGAATGGCCCAGTCATTACACACCCCGTAGAAATTGAAGCTCCTTTATTTTGTTTTTCAAGTCTATTAGATGAACATTTGAATGATTCCAAAAACTACTTACCTTTCTGTCTAGATACAGAAAGATGTGTTAGAATAATTCCCAAGTCTAGAAAACCTCCATTCTGTCTAGGTATAGCACATAAGTCATTACGACAGAAATGGAGTTTAGCTTCACCTGAGCTGGTATTAGTCCATAATAGTTGAAAATCGAAAAGAGCTCTATGCACAAGGATAGCTAAAAGCTTCATCATAATTGATCTTGGTAGAAGATCAACTCATCATCCAGGTAATCAGAAGCCCAGACATCCATGCCCACTCACTCAAGTAACACTTGCATTATAAACAAAAGTATCATCTAACAATTAGACATCAAAGTTAGTCAAGATTCATTTTTTGGTCAACCTGACCAAATCAAACAACTGGAGAGAGTATTGCCTAGCGAGGAAGTTGAAATACCTCTTGGGCTCTGACAAAGAGTCACATCAGTGCAAAAAATTGGGCTCTGACAAAGATTGATTAATACCTATTCAGCCCTATATATTGGCCTAGCGAGGAAGTTGAAATGCCTCTTGGGCTCTGACAAAGAGTCACACCAGTGCAAAAAATTGAGGGTACAATGATATAAAAAATTATGCAAAATTTTATGTATAGAAAGAAATATTTTACAGATGGGCCATCCAATGCATCAGGTAGGACTAAACCTAGACTTAATGGGCTCGTGTACAATGCACACCCACCAAACTCATACTTTTCTTTTTTTTTCTTCCTCCGCCTAAACACCAGGAATTGAGCTAGCTATTCAAAATTTGCCAGTTCACCCAGAGATTCACCACCTCAATTTGAAGATCTTCCTTAAAAGCATAGAGGACCCTCAATTACTCCCTCAAATCTGATATGGCAATCGCTCTTTAAAAACCAGCAGCTTAGGCAAGTGAGTGTATTTTTCTTGTATGTATGCTAGACCAGCTACTCGCGGGACTCGATGGGGCCATTCTTGTCTTTTCTTGGTCGAATGGAGGAGGAGGTGGAGTAAAAACTAAGGTAGAATAGACGTGGCACTGCCCGCGACAAAAACAGAAGGATCAACATGTTCCTTTGGCTTGGGAAGACACTCAACCCTTGTGCTGCTGAGAGTTAATGATCTCCACGATTCCCTATACAACATTAGAATCAATGTTAAAATGATAAAATTAAAGGATTTAATGAGAGTAATCTAGATTACCAATCATGTTGACTAGCTTCGACATACTTAAACTTCCTGTAAAGAGTATAGTAACTTCATATGAACTACCCCCTTCAACCAAGTGTGAGAGGAGAACACTTTCCACACTAGAGCATCACCTTGAACAACCTGCCTTGATGAGGCCTGGATTAGATCCCCAACCACAAGTGAAGCTTTGTTTTGGGCTATCTCTTTTGTTAGGGGTTGGATTAGGATGAATTATGATGATGAAGGTTGAGTAATCATCACTAGTTTCCCTTTCGTCAAGAATGGCAGTTGAGCAGGGAGTGTGCGGAGTGGCTCAGGAGTTAAGAAAGAAGCCTCTAACCTTTAGTAGAGGCAACAAGTCTGATGATTCTTCAACCTCTTCAACCTGAGGCTGCTTCACCGCCTGACGTTTAATTCGTTAAGGACTTACGGGCCTGGTCACTTCAACTGATCTTTTAGTCCTAGCCAGCTTCCTCCTTTCTCCCAACCTTCTTTTAGTCGAACGATCTTCTTCGCTTTCTCTCTTCTTTAAGACCCGATGAGGATTCTCAGATAAAAATAACTGAAGGATAGAAAATTTGAGAAACGAGGAGGAAAAACACTAATCACACCCTTTTATAGTGAGAAGCAACACGAAATCCCATGAAGTATAATTATTAACAATGTAGGTACAAGTAATTATGTTATTTAATTATCTCATTCTTATGACAATTGTCCCTATCAAATAAGTAAGAGAATCATAGAACTAATTATGTACATCATTAATGTGGCCACATGAATCTCGAGGAGATTCAACGGGTAGCACAAAGAAAGCAGCAGAAACACAAACATTCATTGTTGCACTAGTCGATCAAATTTTAGGCTAACCGAACGAACCTCTGACCGAACCAAGGAACACTACGCACATATGTTGATGATTAATCGACCATTGTTTGGCATTAGCAATATTAATAGCCATCCATGAGAATTCCTTTTGCATAGGCTCATCGACTAAAGAAAGGATATCTGTCAGATTACGATAAATATCCTCTGCCTGATGGAACATTCCTTCCCGAGGATGATGAAACCTCAAAATGAACTTCTTCAGAATGCTACTGAAAAATTATTCAGTCGGCGGATACTCTTGGTCGACCAAATGAATACTAGGCGATCTGACTAGACCATTACGAACGTGAAACAACATCAAATACAATTACAAACATAAAACTGTGCCGATAGTAGTTACATGGTTAAAGTGTGTTTACGTTATTTGCAAATATATAAAGATATAATGATTCATAAATGATTGTAACATTCCCATTATTTGGGGACAATTGTGTAATATACCATACCTTTCATATGACTTATAAATAGAATAATCCTTTTTATGAAAAGAGATTAACAATTCTACAAAAATTAAGTATTTTTTCTGTCTTAAAATTATATATATATTGTTTGGCATCTCTTTCTATGAGTTATTATTCATGTGAAAGTAATTTAGCATTCTTAGCTTTCCAACACAAAAAAAAAAAAAAAACACATGCAAAATAACCATTCAATTTTTGGAGTTTATCCCTCGTCAAGGGTAGGTGAGGGCGAAGGAAAATTTATTTTTATTCATTTAATTTAGGTTTAAAATTAAAATTTATCATTTAGTCAAATATATATCATTATTTTATTAATTTCACACTAATAAATTTTATTATGAAATGTTATTTAAATCATAAAAAAAATTCAGGAACAAATAATAATGGTAAATAGCACTGTTTTTGCTATTTGAAAAATAAAATTAAAAAATAAATCAGAGCGAGAGAGGAGAGAGAGGAGCAGGCTCATCATCACTAATCGGAAAAAGCTAGCTGGTTTTATGAAGTCACTTCGCAGGAAAAAAGAGGTAAAAAGAGGACAGGGAGCTTTACAGCGATCAGCTCTTTCTTCTCTCTTTCTCTCTTTGCTTCAAAATTCCACTTGGGGAAAAAGAGTTCTACTCATCTACATATTACTCTTTTGCTTTGTCCCCGTCCTCCTTTTCGTCTCTCTTTCTCTGCCCTGAGAGATCTACTGCGCCGGTGGAATCTTAGCAGCTAAGTCAAGCCTTCCCAGTCTCCAAGGTGAGGCTTCTTCACTGCATTGGTCGGAGATATCCGTTAGGCTTCTGGCATGATCTGCCCATCACTTTCCAATTGAAAAACATGTTCGCTTTATTATTATTATTTTTGTTTCTTTTTGGAAGACTACTGCTTTTAGTTCGTCGCTGCATCTCGCTGTTTTCCCAAAAAGGGTTTTGTGGCATTTGAGCTTGCTACTGATTTTTGTTCTTGGATCTTCGGGCTTCGGGAAGGAAATGTGCTTGCCGAATTGAAAATTTTCTTGGATTTCTTTAGTTCCTTTTCCTTCTTCGAGAAAGTAAAATATTATGCTTTATTTTTTTGTTGCTTTTAGCAGAATTTTCATCATTTTGCGAAGCCGACTTACTGAGGTGAGTTCTATTCTCTTTTTTAGTTTGATTATATTAGTTCACAAGTAATAAACTTCGGAATGACCCAATTTCTTGTTAAAAATTTTTAGGTTGAAATTTTATTTTTTTGTATTTATTGTGGGATTTTGAGAGCTGAATTCCGCTTTGTTGAAATATTCAGTGCATAAATTATGCTTTGTTTCTGATTTTTATTTATTCTCTCTGTAATTGATGCTTTATTTTTTTCATCAAGCATAAATAACTGTGTTTTGTTCTCTCAGAACAACGTGCCTTTGGTCTTTTTCTGAGCATTATGATAAGGGAGCTGAGAATCATGCTTTTAAGGATCTCTCGTGCTTCTGTTATAGTTTTGATGGTGATTGTGGCTCTGCCTCTTTCCCACAGTTTTACAACCGACCAAGACGGTATGTCATATTGTCTGCTATCTGTACTGTTTAATGCTTTATGCAATTTTTTTAAGGTGATTATGTTTTCAATGCACAATTTTATTTCAACTAAACTAATTGAATGCTTCTCATGTTGATTGACTCCTACTTTTAGCTCGTGCATATATTCTATTGTGGTTTTTGAACCTCAAATGTTAAATGTTCCTATATAGTCATATGGAAAAAGACAATATCTTTGGTCTGCAATGTTTTGAGGGATGAAGTTACTTACTAGTAGGGTGGAAGTGTATCGGAAAATAATGAATTTAATGGTGTTACCAGTATGATTTTTCTATTACATTATTTCACTTAGGTTCCCCTTTAGGTCTTTGCATAGGTCTCTTTGGTAGACTGTATGACAACTCCGTATGCATAAGGGCTGTTTTTGTGAATTCACATTTTCCCCAAGGTCGCCTATACTGTATAGAGGTTTCACACACTTCACTTGCACCAATTTTTATTCTTCACATAGATCCTTGGTTTCATTCATATTTATTTATGTCATTCATATAATTCTTGATGTCATTGTTACAGTTACCTATATTTGATTTTTGGGCAGGCCATACTAGATATAGGAGGGAACTCAACAACGTGGTGATATCTATGTGTTGATTCTATGCTAGGCTTGGTTATTAATTGAAATGACAAGGCTTATCCAAATTGCAAATGACTATAGTCAGCTCTATATGAGTTGATTCTATGTTGGGCTTGGTTATTAGTTGAAATGACAAGGCTTACTGAAATTTCAAATGATTATTGTCGGCTCATTGTCTAGCTTGGCTCACTTATAACATGGCATTGAGATTGAATGCACAACAAGAAATCATATCCAAATTAACTTTACTTAATTCATTCATACATGCATGGAACATTCTCAAGTGTAAAGGACATCAAAGAAAGAGTGAACAACAGTGCATATTATTCTTGCTCTTGTTAATGTCCACTAATTGAATCTTAAGGTGGATGACGTGGAGTGGAACCCATGATCACCCGTGACTCTCCCACGTACACGGGACGAGAATTGGGATGGGATTCAATCTCGTGGAGACATGTAGCAGGATTTTCCTACTAGGTCGAAAACCAACTAATACTAGAACTTCCCATGCTTTCAAGTGTTTGTCATAATTTGTTGTATGATTTTATAAGATTTCATCTTTATAGCACCTAATTCTTAAAGCCTTTGTATGAAATCATTCAATATTTAGACATACCATTATCTTGTCTTTTAGTTTAAATTTCACAAATCTTCTTCACATCAACAATTAACAGATAATTAGCAATCAAATTATTATAACTATCTTCATGTATATTATGAATAGTTTGTGTAAATGATTTTGCAAACTCGCTAAGCTTAGATGCTAGGGTAGTCGATAGCCAACGCAAAATTTGTCAAAAAATCAAATCATGAATCTTTTTTATCATTGTGTAAATCCTAGGGCATCCCCTAAAAGCAACGCGTTGTATGGTTTGACTACAGTGAAATGTGTATAAGGGTCGTTACATCATCGCCCTAGTATAGTGTCAAATAACTAAGGGTTCCTATTTTATGGACGAATGCGGGTAAATAAATTAGTTCATGAAACTAATATAGGATAGGATCTTGGAATATAGATATTTTCACAGGTAAATTAATGTAATTAGTTGATATTATGATTTATAAGAAGAAAAAATATCTTATGTATTCAAGAAACTAAATGTGTTGGAGAAAAGACTAAGGAGATTGATAGTTTAGGTTCTTAAACTTTAGTATTCAGTTAAGAGTCACACTAGAAATGATATAGGTGTAATTATAGATAAGAGTTTGAAAGATAATGTTGTAAAAATTAATATAATTGAAGATAGAATTATAGCCCTTAAGATTATTTCTAATACTAAGATTTTTAATATTATTAGTGTTTATGTTTCTCAAATAGGTTTAGATATAAGGTCTAAAGATGAATTCTGGAATGACCTAAAATACTTTATACAAATGATACCTCTTGAAGACAACATTTTTATTGGAGTATATTTAAATAGACATGTCGGTAGAGTGGTAGAAGATTTTAGAAAGACATGGTGACTGTTATTTTAGAGTGATTAATGAAGAAGCTATAACATATTAGATTTTGCTTTAGCATATGATTTTATTATCACTAATAATTTATTCAAGAAAAGAAATGAACATATTATTACTTATAAGAATGGATCTAATAAATCACAAATTGATTTTTTTAATGGGAAAAAGATATCGTCGAGAATTTAAAGATTGTAAGGTCATTCCAAGTGAAGATTTAAGTACTCAACATCAATTATTATTTTTAGATTTTAAGATGAAGAGTTGTAAAATAGAGAATATTAGAAATCATTGTCGTAGAATTAAATGGGGACTCCTAAAAGACAAATAAAAATATTTTTGTGAGCAAATTTCAAGATTCCAAGATTTGGGATGTTCATGAAGAAGCAAATTCTATATGGAATAAAGTGACAAATACAATTAAGCAAGTGACAAAAGTTATACTTGAAGAATCAAAAGAAAAATATTCATATAAATAAAAATAATTGGTGGTGAAATAATACTTTGCAAAAAAAGATAAAATATAGGATGTTATGTTATAAATATTGGTTTAAATGCAAAAGCTTAGAGAATTGAGAAAAATATAAAATGACCCGTAGGAAGTTTAAGTGAACAATCTGACACTAAAATTTCTATTTTTGGTGAAGTTTATAGTAGATTAGATACTAGAGAAGGTAAAAAATATATGTATAAACTAGCTAAAAAAAAGTGAAAAGAAAAGTAAATGTTTAACTCAAGTAAAGTGTATTAAAGATGAAAATCAAAAAATGTTTTTCTTAGAAAAATATATTTAACATAGGTGAGTGAGTTATTTTGATAAAATTTTTAATGAATTTTCTAAAAATATGATTGACTTTAGTGATCTCAATATCGTTAATAATAATAAAATATTTCATTTTTATTATCGCATTAATAAAAAAGAAATTGAGGGGGCTTTAAAGGAAACCAAGGGTAGAAAGTCTGTAGGACTTTATGATTTCTCAATCGAAGTGTGAAAATATATAGGAGATTTGGGTGTTTCTTGGTTTACTAAACTCTTTAATATTATTTTAAAAACTATATAAATGCCCAAGGACTGGAGGAAGAGTTTTTTTATCCCCATTTTTAAGAATAAAGAGAATGCACAAGAATGTGCAAATTCTAGAGGAATTAAGTTGATGTGTCATAAATTAGAATAAAGAGAATGCACAAGAAAGAATGCACAAGAATGTGCAAATTCTAGAGGAATTAAGTTGATGTGTCATAAATTAAAATTATGAGAGACGTTAATTGAACAAATGTTTAAGACGTATTACAAAGATTTCTCATGATCAATTTGTATTTATGTCGAGCAGTTCTACTATGAAAGCTATAGATTTATTGAGAGGTTTGAAGGAGAAGTTCAGATAGAATAAGGAGGACTTACATATGGTTTTTATTGATTTAGAAAAAGCCCATTAGGTTCCAAGAGGTCCTTTGGAGAGTTCTTGAGAAGAAAAGTGTTGATATGAATTATATTCAATTCATGAAAGATATGTATACTAGAGTTGTTACTTGTGTTCGAGCAGGAGGATTGGCCAAATATTTTCCTATTTCCATTGGATTACATCAGGGATCGACTTTAAGCCCATATCCTTTTTGCTTTAATTATGGATGCTCTTATTATGGATGCTCTTACTGGACAACCCTGGTGTATGTTTTTCGCTAATGATATCCTTCTCGTGGATAAGACTAGAGAGAAAGCTCAGGAAAAATTTGAATTATGGAGGTTTACATTGGAGTTTAAAGGCCTTCGTTTGAGTAGTTTAGTTTAAAGGCCTTCGTTTGAGTAGAACTAAAATTGAATACATGGAATGTAATTTTAGTAGTAGTAGCTCTAGTGCATAATTAAAACTATGAGTGATCAAATTATTAAAAGATGTGAACACTTTAGATATCTCAAGTTTATTGTTCAAAGTGATGGTGATATAGATGGGGATGCTATTAGTGGAATTCTAGTTGGTTGGTTGAAGTGGAGGAATGCTTCAAGCCTATTGTGTGATAGAAATGTACCGCTTAGATTGAAAAGAAAATTTTATAAGATGGTGACGAGACCTGCAATGCTCTATGCCGCTGAATATTGGCCTTTAAAAGAGAAGCATAAAACTGAGTCAAGTGTTTCCGAGATGAGAATGATTAGGTGGATGAGTGGCTTTACGCTTAGAGACAAAATTCGAAATGAATCGAAATGAATATATCCGTGATCCGTGATAGGGTTGGTGTAGCTCCAGTGGCGGGCGAAATTAGAGATAGTTGTCTTAGATGATTTGGTCACATTAAACGTTGACCAACTGATGATTCGATTAGGAGAGTAGATGTTTTATATTCTACTTATGTTAAGAAAGGCAGAGGTAAACCTAGAAAGACTTGGGCATATTGTATAAAAAATAATCTTAATTTATTAGAGTTAAATGAAAATATGACACGATGGAGAAAAAGGATTCATGTAGCCGACCTCACGTAGTTGGATAAAGGTTTGTTGTTGTTGTTGCTAAGCTTAAATGCTTTTTGAAAGTTAATTAGATTTATAGATTTATAAGTTCTTTAAGTTGAAAATGAAACTATTTCAATTGAACTTATACTTACATCTGCTAAGAAATGAATTTAATGTAAGCTCAGTCATAGGTAAATCAAATTTCAACCAAAAGCATGCTCTTTAATCATACTTACAATAAAGCACCAAAATTAATATTTACTAGCTTGGTTCGTTCAACAGTTTATGGTTATAAGCTATTAAAAACTTTAATTGTGCTCTCATTTTTTTTCATAGGGTTCTAAAAACTTTAATTGTGTTCTCATTTTTTTTCATAGGGTTCTAATAAGCAACACAGGAATTCTTCAATCTTTGTTAGAGGTTGGCTTTACATGAGACATTCAATATATATTACCTTGTTCTGTTTCTATTTCCTTATATTGTATGGTGAGTTATACATTGTGAAATAATTCACGTGCATTTTCCTCAAACTTTTTTAATAATGTCAGTCTTTCGTCATAGGCATTGTATTGTTGTGATTAATTTATCCCGCAATATCAACATGTGATTCTGGAACAATAAATCTCTCAATGATGAATCAAGAATGCAAAGTTGTGTCTCTTTAGAGTGAAAGCCATATTTAAGTGTAAAATCTTTGTTTAGCACAAATAGGTAACTATTTATGTCATTCAATCACGGTCTACTCAAAGGATGCATGTTGCTAGATTGAGTGCATGTCCGCACAAGTAATAACATGATGAGTAAGAGTTTCATCTCATATGGACTAAAATACGATGTTTTGAAATTTGATTTGTTATTATCGAAATGAGCGAATATAGGATAATTATAAAATTATGAACTAAAATAAAACCTAAATAAAATAAAATAACAAAAATGAACTACGTAAGTGGCGGAGATTCTTATGGTAGAAAGCAATTAGACTAAGAATATGGATTGGATTTCATTTAGATGTATTTATTTGGTTATATGTAATATGATGGAGGGTTCATAAAAATTCAACCGAATTCCAATTTAGATGTCACTTATCTTTCCCCCCAAAAGTCTAGGGACATTATGTCCAATCATACAATTGTCTTACCTCTCAATGCTATATTTTATGGAAGAATTTTTTTTTTATAGTTTTAGGTTTCACAAAAGCACCATATGAGTTTAAAAAAGTTATATTTTCTATGATTTGCCATGGTATTTTATGAGTCTGTTCTTCACGTTCCAATTTCAAATGGATCTCTTAAACTATCAATTAATGGAAAATTAAATAATAGATAATGAAGCACGGAATAAAATTTTCGATAACCAAATAAAGCATAAATTTTAAGAGATTTATTGAAAACAAAAACCAAGTGAACATTTGATTACATCCAATTTCTAGAAAGGAGATCTAATTCATAATGAGAAAAAAAGATATATTAATTTCATCACGATGAACAAAAACAAGCAAAATGTAGAGAAAACTAAATGTTGTAGTCCCTCGCTCAACTTTGCTTTCCACTTCTTCCGTTTGCCTAGGCCTTCTCTCATACTCCCTTTGAGTTCTACACAAGATTTATGCTTTAAAAACCCTAGAATTTGTTGATAAATGCCAACACAAACCTTAGAATTCTCTGACTATTTTGAACTTTTTCTTGTTCTGAAAATGGTGGTTGTTTTAGTTAATTTGCAAAGCTCTTTGGATTAAATATCTCAACAGTAAGCATTTTTAACTTCAACTTGCAGGATACCACAATATATTCTTTTTTTGTGATTATATTTTCTAATACCTTTTTCTCTTCAGTTTTTGCTATAAATAGCTTATATGCTGCATTGGGATCACCTCCTCTTCCTGGATGGATTCCAAATGGAGGTGATCCTTGTATAGAAGGTTGGCAGGGTATCCAATGTGTTGGTCCAAATATCTCATCAGTGTACGGTATTTATTGTTCTAACACATTGTTTCTTACACTTTCCTTATTTGCATATATTCGTCCTTCAATAATTTTCTATAATGTAATTATTTTTTCTTCTGTAGAACAATAAATGGTGCAAATTTGCGTGGTCAATTAGGCAGTCATTTGGAAAATTTTTCTTCAATAGTGACAATGTAAGTCCGGGTGCGTTATACTCTCTTCTTTAATGCCCATGATTTTTATTTTGATATGATTGTTTCATTCATAGCTCCGGTGATGCAAATTATTATATTTTTTAAAATTAAAAGTTGAACACTTTGTTTCGTTATTTTGCCCTTTGATTAATCTTATATTTCCTTCCTTACAACAGAGATTTCAGTAATAATTTTATTGGTGGAACCATACCAGAAAATCTACCACTTACCTTGAAAGGATTGTATGTGTTGAAAAGTTGAATTATTTGTTTTTCGATATACATTTAGGGTCTGTTTGGGGCAGCTTCGGCTTATTGAATAATTTGCTGATAAACTGATTAAAAATAATCTACTGATAAGCTAGGTGCGGTGACTATTACAAATTTTTATTTTTTTTGAAAAAGTCAGACCGTTGCCAGAAAGCTGTCACCACACCTAGATAGGTACGGTATGAAACTATTGTTTTCAGCGTTTTGAAAACGCATAAGTTGCCAAAACGCAATTTATCCAAACAGGTCAGGTGTGTTTTCAAAACGCCACCGCACCAAATAAGCAACCCCAAACGGGCCCTTAGTTAATTGATTTATGTAACTTTTATTTACAAGTTGATAATTTTTTTTATATTATTTGGCAGTTTTCTTTCAGCCAACCAATTTACAGGGAACATCCCAGCTTCCTTGTCAAAACTAACACTTCTTTCTGACATGTAAGCCAATGCTTTTCTTTCTCTACAAAATTTTTTTTTCGCATTTTTCTTATTTTTTGCCTCCTTTGTTAACTTTATTATAGGTCAGTTAATGCCAATAATTTAAGTGGAGAATTGCCCGATGCATTCCAGTCTCTCATTGGTTTGATAAATCTGTAAGATTCTTATTGTTTCTGTTCAAGTCATCCTTTTAATTTTATTTGCGTCCAATATTGTAATGATTTTAACATCACAGGGATCTCTCTGCTAATAACATAAGTGGTCAACTTCCTCCTTCAATGAGAAGTTTGTCATCATTGACCACACTGTCAGTTTGCCACTTCAACACAAATATCTCCCTCTTTCTAGCTTTTATCTTCTAGTTTTATGAGGTGCACAATTTTGCAGGCATGTACAGGACAACAAGCTATCTGGGACTCTTGATGTTCTGCAAGATCTTCCCCTTAAAAATTTGTACTTTCTTGCACATTTTTTCATTCTGTAATTTAACTTCTCTATTAAAATGTTTTGGTGATGAAATTAATTTAAGTATCTTATGCATTCTGTTTAGGTGGAGGTTAAAACAAGTGTTCAAATGTACCAATTGCCAAGCCATCAATATCTAAGATTTTTTAGCAACAACCGATTGATCATCCAACTCTGTATCTATCTCCTTAATTATTTGGTATTAGAGGCAGCCCATCGACAATCATCATTCACAGTTTTCTTTCTCATGCTTGCCTGTAGCCATGTACCAAATTTCATGCTCATCCATTTCTTCCCCTTCATTCATGCTGCCCAACAACTCCGGACGACGTAATCCATCGTGCGCTTCATCCTCCACCAACTTTAGCCTCTCTTTTATGTCCATGCTTAAATCATCTGCTTATCTCCTACATTGCTCAACTCCACGGACACAAGCTTGGCCAAGCCTCTAACTGGTTTTCCAAGATTATTTTCTCTGTTTATGCAAACCCCTTACGGGCAACTGTCTGAGCACAATCACTCCTTTCACATTTGCTTGGTGCGAAACTTATTTTTCTACCATCTGCAAAGCTAAACATTTTTTGCCGACTTGTGCTACTTTCTAACCTCATTGGTAGCAGCAAACTGGCTCGCGCTAACTGGCTCACGCTAACTAGCTCTCTACTTGCAACTAAGTCGTTGATAGAAATAATCGACTTTATGATAGTGACAATATCAAAGAGGACCATCCATAGGAATTTTGAATGTTTGATGGTACTTTTTATGAGGTAAAAGATTTAAAAGAAGGATCTTGCAGGTTGTCCACCCCTATAAAATTATTGTGAAATTATTATGAACTAACCTACTCAACAAAGGAATGATAGTTTCATGCAATAAAAGTGGTTAAGGTTGAAGTTCCTACTTCCAGCAGAAAGAGTATTCCGAATACTTTTTTAAATTGGTTATTTGAGTTGGACTTGTCCTGACATTGCTTGGGAATTCTCCAATGCTTTCGATTCAAGATAGTTAAATTGGTTGAGATGATTGACTTCTCCAGACATTGACGGGAAGTCTCCAAATTGTTTGATTCAAGAGAGTTAAAGTAGTATGATTTGCAAAAAGGTTTTGGTGAGGAATTAACATGGAATTAGGTTTCCTAGATGCTTTAACTATTACCACCTATGACGAAATGAAACATAGAATCTAACAAAAAATACATCCAAAGTTATTATAAGAAAAGCTAGTCAAGTAATCGACGAACCACATAAAAGATACTCTTAACTATAATTGAATATTTGAAAAATATGATGATCCTTGACTAGTCATAGCTTGATCAAATAATACTTTAAAGCTATAAAGAGAAACGCAATCGTATGCTCAACATTTTTAGATGATGCATAAATTAGGGCATTGAAAATTGAGAAATTTTAAATGTCAACCTACTATTGGGACTATTAACTCTCAAATGAGCACGACAAAGGTTGGCTTGAAATTTAATTACAATCATTCAAATTGACCATTTTTCAACGCTAAAACTCATACATGACTAAATTGTTGTAGGTTCTATGAAAGGAAACCTCCCCCTCTACTTACAAATCTAATATTACACTTGCTTCAAATGTCACTAAAATGGTCATACGTCACAAAATGTGTTTCTGAATAAACAAGAACCTGAGTTTTCATCCTTAGATGATACTGGTATTGAACACATGGGAGACAATAATCCTTTCACCAAGGAAAATGACAATTAGAAGTGTTAATAGTTGATTTGACACAAATCCAGCTCGAACTTGACATGAAAAATTGGAGTTCAGGTCAATCCATGTAATATTTAGGTTGGGATTAGGTTAAGTTTAAATGACTCGAAAAAAAAATTAAGTTTGGCCAACCTAAACATAATTTTTTAATTATTTGATTATTTTTTATGAAAAATTATATTATTTTGTAATTTTTATTTTCTTATTGAGTTGTTTCCAAATTATGTGATTGTGTCCATTTGAAGTTAGATTAACACTAACCCATTACTACTTGACTATTTTTCGTCTCATGTTGGGTTAGGTTCAAGTGTAGTCGGGTCTTGTTTCGGTCGAGTTTTTTGACCCATTTATTGAATAGGTTGAGTTTGGTTAATTATGTTCATATAATGCCATTTTTGTGTCAAGCTTGTAATTGATAATGGTAGTACTATGATTTTCATCTTAAAAGCTACGTTGTGTAGGGTCATACTTATTTTGGAATCACATTTTCAATATCACCTAGGTGAATTAAATCCATCCAATTGGAAACTATAAAAATTATATATGGTGTGATATGTACCAATGGTTGTAGCATATTTCTTCTTTAATATTCTTTGGTTATATGACTTAAACTCCGTAATCTATGAAAACACTTCGTTATCAACTTTTAGGGAACAGTAATTAAAATGTTCCTTCTAAAGCTTGTTAAGATGGTTCAAAAACCTTAATTGGAAAGTTGAAACTTATCATAAATTGTAAGACATAACAAATATTGGTTCATTAGGAAATTGTAAAAAGAAGATTAGGAGTTTAGGATAATCATGCTTTTAGTCACCAAACCAGCTACTGCTAAGGCATATAAGTCGTTCATGCCTTGATTAAGATGTTAAACCGTTAGAACCCTAGAGGAACTTCTTGATGATCAGTTACTCCTATTGTGTGATATTAAATATTCAATTGATGTTGTTCTAGAGCTTTGAGCTTGAATGATCGGTTGTTGAACTATCAAAAAGATTTATGCATGAAAATTTGAATTCATGTGGTATATATCATCTACATATTTCAAGAAAGATAGCTGATGGAGAATATGCGTTAATAAGAGCCTTAACTAAATAATAGTTAATTGTAACTTCTCAAAGTCTCTATTTAGATATGTTAGATTTAATTTAAGGATCTTTTTTCTTCTTTCAGATTGATTTTAAGAAGGTACCGCCAAATCTGTATTAACCCTGAGGAAGAGTGGAAAATAAATTTCAAAACAAGTGATTTTTTGACTGAATGGATGGTGCTATTTGGACTCTTAACATATTTAATACTTTTATGATAATTATGAATTAAGATTTATTGCCATTTATTTGTAAGTTTTAGTCATTTAGTTTGATGGCATCTTCATTTACATTATATTGAAGGAAACACACCTCGATCAAGTGCACCTTGTTTTGGATGCACTTAAATCAAAAAGTTATATATTGACTAATGGACAATCTTTCATCAACTTCAAGTTATATTTCTTGGATATGTAGTTTCCTCTAAAGTATTGGAAGCTTAACCAGAAAAGGTTGTACTGGGCATTGGATTTTATTAAAGCTAGGATGATAGAATGCCGTGGTTAAAGCTTCTTGATTTCAAATAAACTGTTACATTTATGCAAGAGTAATTATCTGCTCTTAAAATATGCTCTAGAGATGAGAGCAGAGTTGATACACTGAGTAGAGCTTTTATCATGTTTAGCCTTACGATTGTGAACTTACAAATAAAATATGAGCATCTACCATGCCTTAACGTTCATTTGTTCTATTTGGAGCTTAAAAAATCGGATATTATTCATTTCAAATTACACATGGTTTGAGAGATTTCTTTTGGTAGGTTCAAAACCATGCATCTCTACTATTAATGAGATTCTCTTGTGTAGGTGTTATATGTTGTTGCTGCGAGATCTAGATATACCGGTTGATGTGATATATATATATAAATCAAACAGGAGAACGATCGACGAAGTGAAAAAATAGAACAAGAAAAATCACACCAGAAAAGAACAACACAGTGAAACACAAATTTACGTGGTTCGACAAATTGCCTACGTCCACGGAGTTGCAGAAGATTTTACTACTTGAGGAATTTACACCAGTCAATTACCTCGACTACCTCGACTTCAAGAAGAATCTCTCACTTCGTTGCTCTCTCTTCTCCTCTCTCTGTTTTTCTCTCTCTACACCGATATATACCGAAGAAGCTCTACACCGAGATACACCGAAACTTATTTCTTTTCTGCCACAATTCAATCAGAAAGAGAACTTCGAACCGGAGAGAAGAAACCTTGGAGAGTCTTGCTAGTTCGTAATCTTTTTCTTTTTTCTTCTTCTTCCTTTTACCGCAAGGAACTACCTCTTGCACTTCTCTTCCTCCGAGTAAATTTTCCTCTATCCTGAGAAAACCGAAGAAGAGCTCAAACCGAACTTCCTAAAGCCAAGGAGAGCCATCCAAAGCTTTTATCATGAACAGAAGGGAGCGAAGAGATGCTTCACTTCACAAAAGAGGAAGACAGGAGTGGTTATTTTTGAAGAGGTGTGACTCTCCAAAACAAAGTAATCGCCCAAGCATAGTAATCGCCCAAGCATAGCGCCCAAGCATAGTGGACCGGGCTCCACCGTTTCTAACATTTTATGCTAGATAATTAACTAGTCATGAAAGATGTGATATTACCATCTGCATGTTTGAAAAAAGTTTGTATTGGCCCTTATTAAGGATATTACTGTAAAAGTTGGCTAGTGTTAAATGGGAAAGTTGAGCAAACTCTAGCGACTACACTGCTCTACTTATGCATATTTTGCCATTGAAAATCGTCAACATGGATTACATGTTAGGATTACTTAATAGAGCACATCTGATATGAATTTGTATTAGTGGTAGTGAATATATTTTCTGAAATAAAACAATTTATTCCCCATTATAAGATTTTTTATAACTCTCATGTGGCATAACTGTTCCTTAAAGAAATTGTTCGTTTGCATGGTCTCTCCTCTTCATATGTTGTGGGATGTAAGGTTTGAGAATTCTTTGGGACTCGACAAATAGTTTCCTCTACTTTTATTCATAAATAGATGGACTAACAAAAGTTGAGAATAGGAATTTGGAAAAATAGCTATTTTGTCTTATCAATAATTGGTTTAGAAATTTGTTTTTATTAACTTTGCCAGCTCCACCAACGAAGTATCATTCTTTAAAGTGATGTGTGGTTCATAACATAGGAAGCCTATAGATGTCTTACACTTA